GAGCGTGGTCCTGGAGGGGAATCACAGGAAGTGAGGATGGAGAGGTAGGTGGGCCTCAGCTTGATAAAGAGAACAGCTTGCACTCCCAGTGCAATGAGGGGATGAGAGGGCAGGGAGTGGAGGGACACAGGCCACAGGAGCAGCTTGTAATGTCAAATGTAGACACCTGGCAACCCCTTGTCAGGTGTGGAAATAGATGAAAATCAACCAAAGGAGGCTTGTTTTGGCAGAGGCTCTAGACAGGCAGAAGAATGGAAAAGCTTTATGGTAGAAAAAAGTGAAGTCTTCAGGCATGTCTTGACGCTGTTGGCCTGGCAAAGCTGTAAGATAGCTAACTAGAAGCCAGATGTCTTAAGAAATGGGTTATGGGTGCATCTTTGGTTTCCTCTCCTTGATCCTAAGTTGGAATTAGAGACAAAAGTCAGAGAAGCTGTTAGTTATTCATCAAGTCCTGGCTATTTGGGGTCAGTTATTATGGAAGGTATTCTTTAGCTTCCTATTTTGTCATTAGAGATAGCACTTTGCTTCCTGCAAATCTGACATCACAGCCTAGCATCCTGGTCTGTAGATGAGGGGTTGGTTTCCAGGGCAGGTTGCTGTAGGTTGTGGGTCAAAGTTAACTAAAATGTGATTGACGCATAGATTTCACTGGGGAAGAGAACTGGAGGCAGGGAAGATATAGGAAAGTTACCTCTAGAGTTTGGATTTAATCCTCCAGACAATCATCACCAAATGTTTCTGTTTGCACATTACTGTCTACAAAATAGTTTTGAACATACATCTCCAACATTATCTATCTTTATTTATATCTAAATTTTATACATGTTCTGCTATAAATTTTAAGAAAATGCAAAACATTTTCTATACATTATTGTTAATTTAAATGTAATTTTGCAAAGACTTCATTTTTCACATGGCTCTAAATTTTGCTAAAGAATTATATTTATGATTGAAAAAGATACATATACCCCTATGTTCATAGCAATACTATTTACAATAGCCAAGACATGTAAACAAACTAAAAGCCCATTGATAGATAAAGGGATAAAGAAGATATTATGTATTATGACCCAGAAATCCCACTACTGGGCCTATACTCTGAAAAAACCATAGCTGAAAAAGACACATGTACCCCAATGTTCATTGCAACGCTATTTACAATAGCCAGGACATGGAAGCAACTTAGATGTCTGTTAACAGATGAATGGATAAAGAAGTTGTGGTACATATATACAATAGAATATTATTCACCCATATAAAAAGAATGAATTTGAGTCAGTTGTAGTGAGGTGCATGAACTCAGGGTCTATTATGTAGAGTGAAGTAGGTCAGAAAGAGAAAAACAAACATCATATATTAATGCATATATATGGAATCTAGAAAAATGGTACTGATGAACCTATTTGCAGGGCAGGAATAGAGACTCAGACATAGAGAACAGACTTATGGACACAGCAGGGCAAGGAGAGGATGGGACGAACTGAGAGAGTAGAATGGAGGTATACACATTACCATATGCAAAACAGATAGCAAACGGGAAGTTTCTATATAACGTCGGAAGCTCAACCCAGTGCTCTGTGACAACATAGAGGGTGGGATGGGGTGGGAAGTGGGAGGGAGGTTCACGAGGTAGGTGACATATACCTGGGGCTGCTCCATGTTGATGTATGGCAGAAACCAATACAACATTGTAAAACAATTATCCTCCAATTAAAAATAAATAAATTTTTTAAAAAAAGATGTGATACATGCATGTACACACACACATACACTATACACTATGGAATAGTACTCAGTCATAGAAAAGAATGAAATAATGCCACTTACAGCATCATGGATAGATCTGGAGATTATCATACTAAATGAAGTAAGTCAGAAAGAGAAAGACAAATACCATATGGTGTCACTTATATGTGGAATCTAAAATCTGACACAAATCAACTTATTTACAAAACAGAAACAGACTCAGACATAGAAAACAAACGTATGGTTACTAAAGGGGAAAGGGGGATGGGAGAGGGATAAATTAGGAGTTTGGGATTAGCACATACAAACTACTATATATAAAATAAATCAAGATTGTCAGGAAAAATATAAACAACCTCAGATATGCAGATGATACCACTCTCGTGGCAGAAAGTGAGGAGGAATTAAGGAGCCTCTTGATGAGGGTGAAAGAGGAGGTTGAAAAAGCTGCCTTGAAACAACATTCAAAAAACTAAGATCATAGTGTCTGGTCCCATCACTTCATCGCAAATAGATGGGGAAAAAGTGGAAAAACAGTGACACATTTTATTTTCCTGGGCTCCAAAATCACTGTGGACAGTGACTGCAGCCAAGAAATTTAAAGGTGCTTACTCCTTGGAAAGAAAACTATGATAAACCTAAACAGAATTTTATTTTTTTAATTAATTAATTTATTTTAATTTGAGGCTAATCACTTTACAATATTGTGGTGGTTTTTGCCATACATTGACATGAATCAGCCATGGGTGTACATGTGTCCCCCATCCTGAACCCCCCTCCCACCTCCCTCCCCATGCCATCCCTCTGGGTTGTCCCAGTGTACTGGCTTTGAGTGCCCTATTTCATGCATTGAACTTGGACTGGTGATCTATTTCACATATGGTAATATACATGCTTCAGTGCTATTCTCTCAAATCATCCCACCCTCGCCTTCTCCCACTGAGTTCAAAAGTCTGTTCTTTATATCTGTGTCTGTTTTGCTGTCTTGCATGTAAGGTCATCATTACCATCTTTCTAAATTCCATATATATATGCATTAATATACTGTATTGATGTTTTTCTTTCTGACTTACTTCACTCTGTGTAGTAGGCTTCAGTTTCATCCACCTCATCAGAACTGACTCAGATGAGTTTGTTTTAATAGCTGAGTAATATTCCATGGTGTATATGTACCACAGCTTCCTTATCCATTCATCTGCCAATGGACATCTAGGTTGCTTCCATGTCCTGGCTATTGTAAACAGTGCTGCAATGAACATTAGGGTACAGGTGTCTCTTTCAATTCTGGTTTCCTCAGTGTGTATGCCCAGCAGTGGGATTGCTGGGTCATATGGCAGTTCTATTTCCAGTTTTTTAAGGCATCTCCACAATGACTGTACTAGTTTGCATTCCCACCAACAGAGTTAGAGGTTTCCCTTTTCTCCACACCCTCTCCAGCATTTATTGTTTGTAGACTTTTTGATAGCAGCCCTTCTGACTGGTGTGAAATGGTACCTCACTGTAGTTTTGATTTGCATTTCTCTGATAATCAGTGATGTTGAGCATCTTTTCATGTGGTTGTTAGCCATCTGTATGACAGCATTTTAAAAAGCAGAGATAGCACTTTGCCAACAAAGGTCTATATAGTCAAAGCTATGGTTTTTCCAGTAGTCATGTATGGATGTGAGAGCTGGACCATAAAGAAGACTAAGTGCCAAAGAATTGATGCTTTCAAATTGTGGTGTTGGAGAAGACTCTTGAGAGTCCCTTGGACTGCAAGGAGATCAAATGAGTCAACCCTAAAGGAAATCAACCCTGAATATTCATTGTAAGGACTGATGCTAAAGCTGAAGCTCCGATACTTTGGTCACCTGATGTGAAGGGCCAACTCATTGCAAAAGACCCTAATGCTGGGAAAGACTGAGAGCAAAAGGAGAAGGGGCAGAAGAGGATGAGGTGGTTGGATAATGCTTGGCATTCAACAAGCCATCAATAGGCACTGTTGCAGAAATAAATTTTTAAATGAGTGACTAGAGTCTGTCTGTAGAGATGTTCATCTCTCTACCACAATTTTCCTAAGACAGTGTCTTCACTGTGCCCCACAATAGTATTTTGCATTGTTTTACTACTACATTAAGAGCAAGTTCTTATTGCCCTGTACTAAAATATCAGCACATCTTGTAATTCTACTCTGTGGTCTTGAGTTTTCAGTGGAGGTACTCAGATCAAGGCTATCTCCTTTTCCATGGCAAACCTTCAGATCCTTGAAGACAGTTATTTTCCCACTGAGATTTCTATCTGAGTCAACACTATTACATATCATAATATTACATATTATTGCATATTACTTTGTGATATATAATGAAATAATTATACAACTCACTGTAATGCAGAATCAGATCATCAGGCAACCAGATTCTCCTAAGGAGTGCGCAACCTAGATCCCTTGCATGCACAGTTCTCAGTAAGGTTAGTGCTCATATAAGAATCTAATGCTGCCACCGATCTGACAGGAGGCAGACCTCAGCTGCTAATGTAAACGATGGGGAGAGACTATAAATATAGATGAAGCTTTCTTAGCTTCCCCACCACTCACTTTCTGCTGTGTGGCCTGGTTCCTAACTGGCCACAGGTTGGTATCAGTTCATGGCCCAGAGCTTGGGGACCACTGCCTTAGATTAGTATGGCCAGTAATACTAGTATTATGGGATGAATAGTCATGGAAGTATTAATAGCAAGGGCAACAGGGACAGCTTACACAGTATTGTCAGTTATGTTAATACCGTTTCCCACTTTCATAGTAGTTAACAAAGTACTTTCATAGGATGTGGCCAGGAACACCACAAACACTGATGGGAAAAACAAAAAGCAGGAGAGAAGGCAACACCTGGACACCGGAGCTGCCTGGAGTAGAGGTGGTGGGAGCATTGGTTAGTCTGTACTTCCATATCTGTGGATTTCTTTCCACCATGCTCCCAACCTGGGCACCAGACTTTCTGACCCTTGGCAGCTGGGGATATGCCCAGAGCAGTGGTGCCTACAGAGTCCTCAGGTCCATCCTAGTCTCCACTCTGGCTGGTCTTCTCCACTTTCCCTTGGAGACTGCTTTCCTCAGTTTCCTCCCAGAAAATTTAATTTAATAAAACCCTACAATACCCTTCAGCTCACTCAAACATCTCACTGAGCAGTGTTGGGCAAATGTATTTCCCTGCAAATTTCCCAAGAGCAAGGACTCAGGAAGCATCAAGCCCATCTGCCCTTCCTGGGGTCCCTGCCTACCTGCGCTGGGAACAGTTGGCCTGCAGTACAGAAACACAGTGCTCTCTTTTGATGGGGGTTTCACAGTGTCCACTTCCTGGAATGGCGACCGGCAGCTGGAAGAGGCCCTCAGGATTTACAAGCCTGCAGAAACTCGGCTCGCTGCTCCTGTAACAAGAGGGAGGGAGACAGAACGTTCTGTCACCACGTCAGGTTCTCATGCACCAGGCCTTCTGGAAATGTTTTCCCCATCTGAGAATTGAAGGCAGATGGGGACATGTTGCTTTGTTCATGTGCACCATCTTGTCTCCTCCCCTTTTCAAATCCAGTGAACCCGGAAGGAACTTGAAGGAGAAACGGCAAAAAAACAAATGAACACTGTCCCAGGTTTCACATAAGGGGCTTTCTGATCGCTCCTCCCTTATACACAGGCTGCCACCTCACTGGCTTAGCTGCTCAATCAGTCGGTTAATCAACAAGCATCCTTATCATCTACTGAGAGGCTGTGGCTGGCTCTGAATGGGAGGTATAAAACAAAATGCTCAGCAGAGGCTTCATTCCTCAGGTGCTCAGTTTAGGCTTGAGCACACACTCACTACTGCTGATAAAATGAGAGATGGTTCATTATTAATCAGGACTAGATTATCTGCCCTCAGAGCCTACATGCTTTCCTCTTATGGAAAACAGGATGAGATTCTGGAGCCCAGGAGAGATTTAACTGTCTGGACATGATTGAAACATCAAGGCCTTGGTAAGAATAATTCAAATAAGTGTTACCAAAAGCAAGGGCTCTCTGTATACTGGTGCTGAATCAAATCACAGAGACAGAGTTTGGGGTGAAGCAGAAAATGTTAGCTTTATTGTTTTGACAGGCAAGGGAAACACACTGGGTTTCTGCCTTGAAAAACTATGTGTCTCTAGCAGAAGATTTGATGAAGGGTTTTTTATAGCAGTGGCTCTAAGGTGGGGTCTCTGACAAAAATAGAGTGTGAACAGGGCATGTAGATCCTTAATCTCAGGTGGTTGACTCTCCTAATCTTGATGAGCTTCTGTGGTTCCTCTAATCTTGTGGTTTCTTGGCAGCTCCTCCTTTGATTACCAATTGTTGGAATCCATCCCTTGAAACTCAAAGAAAGTCATGGAGGCTGGAATTCACCCACAAGAAATGGCAGACAGAACAGTCTCCATGCCTGGGAGGCTCATAGGGCCCTGCTTGATTTCACAAATAAAGCATAAGTGAGGAATTGGAAGCCTACATAACTGAGGGACACTGAGGATGGATGTAAGTGATTGGATCTTGTGTTCAGTAGCTCAGTCATATCTGACTCTTTGCAAGCCCATGGACTGCAGCATGCCAGGCTTCCATGTCCTTCACTATCTCCCAGAGTTTGCTCAAACTCATGTGCATTGAGTTGGTGATGCCATCCAACCATCTCAACCATCTTGTGTCATCCCCTTCTCCTCCTGCCTTCAATCTTTCCCAGCATCAGGATCTTTTCAAATGAGTTGGCTCTTCGCATCAAGTGACCAAGGTATTGGAGCTTTAGCATCAGTTTTTCCAATGAATATTCAGGGTTGATTTCCTTTAAGATTGACTGGTTTGAACCCCTTGCAGTCCAAGGGACTCTTAAGAGTCTTCTCCAACACCACAATTTGAAAGCATCGATTCTTTGGCACTCAGCCTTCTTTATAGTTCACCTCTCATATCCATACATGACTACTGGAAAAACCATAACTTTGACTATACGGACCTTTGTTGGCAAAGTATGTCTCTGCTTTTTAATATGCTGTCTAGGATTTTCATATATTTTTCTCCAAAGAGCAAGTATCTTTTAATTTTGTGGCTGCAGTCACTGTCTGCAGTGATTTTGGAGCCCAAGAATATAAAATCTGCCAGTTTTCACTTTTTCCCTTTCTATCTGCTATGAAGTGATGGGACCAGATGCCATGATCTTAGTTTTTTAATGTGAGTTTCAAGCCAGCTTTTTCACTCTCCTCTTTCATCCTCATCAAGAGACTCTTCAGTTCCTCTTCACTTTCTGCCATTACAGTGGTATCATCTGCACATCTGAGGTTGTTGATATTTCTCCCAGCAAGCTTGATTCCAGCTTGTGATTCATCCAACACAGCATTTCACATGATGTACTCTGAATAGAAGTTAAAGAAGCAGGGTGATGATATACATCCTTGAAGCACTCCTTTCCCAATTTTGAACCAGTCCATTGTTCCATACAAGGTTCTAATATGTTTCTTGACCTGCATACAGGTTTCTCAAGACAGGTAAGGTGGTCTGGTATTCCCATCTCTTTAAGAATATTCCACAGTTTTTTGTGATGCACACAGTCAAAGACTTTAGCATAATCAATGAAGCAGAAGTAGATGTTTTTATGGAATTCTCTTGCTTTTTCTATGATCCAACAAATATTTGGAATTTTATCTCTGGTTTCTCTGCCTTTTCTAAATCCAGCTTGTATATCTGGAAGTTCTTGGTTCACATACTTCTGAAGCCTAACCTGCAGGATTTTGAGTATAACCTTGCCAGCATGTGAATTGAGCACAATTGAACGGTAGTTTGGACATTCTTTGGCATTGCCTTTACTTGAATTGGAATGAAAATTGACCTTTTCCAGTCCTGTAGCCACTGAGAGTTTTCCAAATTTGCTGGCATGTTGAGTGCAGCACTTTCACAGCATCATCTATTAGGATTTGAGATAGCTCAGCTGGAATTCCATCACCTCCACTAGCTTTGTTGGTAATAATACCTCCTAAGGCCCACTTGACTTCACACTCCAGGATGTCATGCTCTAGGTGAGTGACCACACCATCGTGGTTATCCAGGTCATTGAGACCTTTTTTTATAGTTCTGTGTGTCCTTGCCACCTCTTCTTAATCTCTTCTGTTTCTGTTAGGTCCTTGTCATTTCTGTCCTTTACCTATATTTTCATGAAATTATTGGGATGAGAAATTATAAAAACTGAAGTGGGAATATTTGTTCCCTCACAGGGTCTGACCAAAATGCTGCCAGGCGGAGATCTCAGCGAACTGAATTAATTGCATACAGCTCGTGTTTTTAACTCCTGGAGACCAATGATTAAGTCAGTCTATTCCCAATACTTTCTCTGTGAAGGGCCAGACAGTAAACACTGCAGGCTTTGTGGTCTGTAGTGTCTCTGTTGTGACATCTCATCTCTGTGGTGACAGGAATGCAGCAACAGGCAATATGTAAATGAATGACTGGGGCTGCATTCAAATAAAACTATAGATGGACACTGAAAATTTAATTTCATGTAAGTTTCACAAGACATGAAATATTATTTTTCTTTTGATTTTTTCCCCCAAGTCACTTGAAAATGTAGCAGCCATTCTTATCTTGTGGGCTATGTGAAAATAAGCAGCAGACTGAATTTTGTCAATGAGCCATAATTTGTCAACTCCAGTCTTGTAGAAGCATTATCACTCCCATGGTGGAAAAGGAGGGAAGAAGAGGAAGATGGAGAACAAGAACATTTATTAAGTACTGATACTTCCTTCTATTTGAGTTTAAACTCATTTGCTCTTTGCTTGCTTCACATATGGTTCTTAAAAATAGCATCTCTTAAACATATTAATAAAGAGTGTGCTTTTTTTTTGGTTGAGCCATGCTGATGATCATTCATAGCCACACTGATTTGTAAAGTTTTTATGTAAACTGTGTTCGCCATCATAGGATATACTTTCCTTGAAGGTTAGCACCTGCTTTACAGCCACCATATTTATATTGGCTGCTGCAAACTTTTTTTGGAGTAGGCCCACAGTAATTTATTATTTTGTTGAATCAGCAAATTTGAGACTATTCTATCTGCACAGTACTAAGTATTAAAGGGAGCACATAATCAAAATATAAGACTTGAACCATAAATTATAAGCCTATCTTTCTGGAATTTTGAATCCTGGTTTATTGCTTTTAAAATGTATCATAAGTGTGTAGCAGTTCAGACATGTTTTTGTTATTGTTGATTTGTTTTTAACATTATGATGCTCTCCTATTTATTCACTTCTACTCCCCAGTAATTTTTTCTTCTTCTGTGACATCTATCCACTGGCTGGGCTGGTTTCCTCTCTATCTCATAATCAGACCATGTGAATAACTCTTACAACATGTTTGCTTGCATTTTCTTTTCCCCTTTTTTTGAAACATTGCAGAAGATGTCTCTTTTTTATTCTCTTTTTTTGTGTCTATCCTTTAAGGGCATGGCTCACCTTTCTACACCCACATATATATTTTTCTCTTTTCAACTCCTCAAACACTTGTGGTGCCCTGGCCCTTTCATTTTCTTTCATTTTGCATGTCATATCCACAAATAAAGTTGGGGAAAACCCTCACTTTGTGCTGAGATGGCTTCTATTGTTGTGGTTTCGTTGCTAAGTCATGTACAACTCTTCTGTGAGCCTGTACTCACAGAAGTCTGTAGCCCGCCAGGCTTCTCAGTCCATGGGATTTTCCAGGCCAGGAAAATCTACCCAATAAATAGTACATAGCCAATGAGAACATACTTAGTGGTCAAATCCCTGTGTCACTTAAAATGACACTAGAGAGAACAGGGATATTAGGTTGGAAAGAGAAGGTTCAGATAAAAGTGGGAAGGGAAACAGTGTCAGGAAATCTTAGAAAACAAGTCAACATTTTACCACTGCAGGGAAATGGAAGGCTGCAAAATTAGGACAAGACTACAGTCTTGTCTCTTTAAAACCTCAGGAAAATTAATTTCAGATAAAGATTAGAGACAGAAAACAATCAACTTTCAAATATTGTTCATAAAAGTTATTAAAAGAAAAAGAGAAAGAAGAGTCAGAATGAAAATATACCAGTAAAACATATCCACAAAACAAATAAAAATGCTAACTTACCATCTAAAAATGAACTAAAAGATATGAAAAAAATGCTGAAAGACATGAAAGAAGAACATAAATTAGAGTGAGAAAACCTCAATAATGAAATGAGAGAACTCAGAAAAAAATTAAAATAAATGAAAATAGAATATGAAAAATGAAGATGAAACCAGAAGGAATACAAGAGTGAATAAACACAACAGAAAATACTTGAAGTGAAATAGAAGATTAAATGAAAGAAAAAATTTAAAATCCAATAGAGATAAACAAATAAAAAGAATTCATGACATAGTGACTAA